TCCAACCATAAGGGTTTTTTACGTAGTCTTTATACTACATATACATAAAAATAATTTGGCAATGGAAACATTAAGCTACACTTTTGAGTTCCATATCCACACAAAAAAACCAATTGTGTTACCAAAACATTCTAAGTTATAGCAGGCACAGACTGTGACAAACTAGCAATAAAAAAAGTTCAACACATAATGAATGTGAGCTGCCCTGAGCCTGTCCACGGGGAGGGCAGGATAAAAATGGAAATAAATAAATAAATAAATAAAATATACTGAGAGGAGACGGAAATATGCCCAAATTTGCCATTTCTCCCCACACCACTTCTCCTGTTTTCTTCTCCCAAGGAAAGGCTATCAAATCAGCTGCAGGTCTGACCTACATTTGCTCACATCTATTTAACTGTTTAACTCATAACTCTACACCTTTGATGTGAACTAATTCAATTCACATGGTTTCTTCTAGACCACCTTCCTCAACTGTGCTGAGGCCAAATTAGGCCCATCTGTCTAAATGAAAGGGAGTTCTCAAGCCATAAACTCATGCTTCGTTAACTAGCATAGACATTGCCAGGAGCTGCCTTCCAAAATTAGTGTTAGTCACAAGCTTTCATTACTGTCAGTCATTGTCAGGAGGACTAGCCAGTATGCTGCAGTTTGAGGATAAAACAGTATCAAAGAAAAAGACAGAATTACTATTCATTCCATTCATTCCTGACTATCATGAAATAGGTTCTGATCTCTATAAATTCTACAGATTTCAGGTGATTTAAATTAGTCACTTTCCTTGGAAAACTTACAGTGCAATTCTAAACAGTGACATCCTTCTGGCCACTGAAGCCAATAGACTTGGAATGGTGTAACTCTTGTTTAGGACTGCACTGTCAAATTGTTCCATAGCTATACTCCTGTTTGATACTATCTTACTAATTTATTAACACAGCAATCCTGGGGGGAGGGTGAATCAAAATAGGGAGCCGACTGACTCCAACACTGGCATAACTTAGATTTATGCTAGCGTAAGGGATATTTATGCCAGTGTAGGGCAGGAGATGCGCTGCACAGCACACTTTCACTGGTGCAACTGCACCACAGCTGTGAGCAGGGAGAGTTACAGGCCAGTGTCTTGGCCCCACTGGTGGATCTCCCAATGGCACCTGGTATTTTTGGCCACTGTGTGGCAGAGTGCTGGACTGGATGGGCCATTGGCCTGATCCAACATTCGCTTCTCTTATGTTCCTACGTTCTTAACCCCTGTTCCAGTGGAAATGTGGGAACACCCCCCAGAGCAGGCGCAAAACTGTGCCGTCAAAAACACCGGTACAGCCCATTTCACTCCCCCCCCTCAGCTGCAGCAACACCCTCAGAAACCCAAGCAGCTCAGGATGCTGACCAAGTGTGCACCCAATCAGCACACCCTCCCATACTGCCTCTGCCCAATGACTGCCTGCTCCGCCCTACAGATGGCTCCAGGAGGTAGCCCCACAGCTCTAGAAGAAGGGTGTGCAGCACAGGATGCTGTCTGACAGCTCCCTGTTGTGTAGACTTAGAGCTAGCACACATGCACCTTGGTGCTGGACAAAACACAGACAGGGCACCTAGCACCGCTGGGCAAGAACTTGGGGTGAAGACACCACCGAGAGAGCAAAGTCCACACTTCGTGGCTGACCTCTCCCAACTTTCTGAACCCAGCGGTACAGCAGTTTGACCCCAGGGATCCCAGGTAAGCAAAGAACCTGTTCCCTTAATCCCCATTCTCCCAGGCCAACAGCAGTGGCATTTAGCCGCATTGGAAATAGCATCTTTTCCTCCAGAACCTGGCAGCCGGAGGGGCCAGGAGAGCTCCCCCAAAAGGACATGGACCCTGCACGCCAGGCAGTTCAGTGCAATGGGGGCCGCCTTCTGCCGAGGGAGGGGGTGGAAGGTGGCACTATTTTATCAGGTTGTGTGGCCCACCCATGGGCAGCGCTCCCCCTGTACAAAATGCACAAGTAGGTGGTAAGCCCCTCCAACCAGAGTGGCGAAAGATCCCACATAATGGCCAAATCCTTCCCTTGAAGGAGAAAGCTGGATCAGTTGTGGATGATCTGGCTTCCACCACCCGTCGGGTCCACCATGCGACATCAGAGTGCCAGACAGGTTGTCTGCAACTGTCAAATGTCCTACAAGCTACCAAGGAGGACCTTCGGCAGCTGCTCCACCATGTATTTTCCCCATACACAGGTGCCGATCCAAAGCAATCACCTCATCCGTGGAGACAAAACCCCACCATGTGCCCTCCCTGCACAAGAAGCTAGGCCTTGGGAACACGTGGACACAACCAGCCCCCCATCCCTTCCCAACCCACACCTATTGGGGAAGTGTCCCTAGCACAAAAGGATCAAGTGGGGGTCTGTACATCAACGCCGTGATCCCAGCCTTACCACTCTGTTGTCCCAGGTTCTCTCCAATAAAGCTTACCTGCTGTGCCTGTCCCAGGTGTTATTGTTTGTTGCAGACTCTGGGAGGTGGGTACATATGGGGGATGCCTTGCAAGCCACATGGTTCTGCCAGACGAAACTGCGGCAGGGGGCCCATCTTGACAATAATACTGTCACAGAATGGATGGGTGCAAAGAAAAGGCTACATAACAGGCCACCATCCCCCAGCCAAAAGCACAGACCGCAGACCCAAAAGCTGCAGAGCAACCCCATGAACTGTCTTGGATCACTTTGGGGGGCCCTGGGGTGAGACATACTGCCATGGCAGTGAGCAGAGATGCAAATGCCATGGGTGTTCCCTAATGGATTGGTCATGGTGGTAGTCCCTAGGCCCAGGGAGCCAGTGTGAGCTGATGTCCCATGCTGGATCCCCTGTGCAAACGATGCTGTTGGCTTAAGGCGCTACTGCCTCATAGAGGCTTGGGGGATACCATGCTGCGCTGCAGAGAAGGAATGGCAGGAATGGTCAATTTCAGAGGGCAATCCCCTATGGAGGCCTGCTTGGCCTATCTGAATCCCAGGCACCCTGGACATATTTGCCTCTTCAAATGAGGGGCTCAGACAGCACACAGCAAGTGAAATGAGCAAGTAAACTGCAAATTTCGATTACAGCATAAAATAGCTTTAGAAAGCCATAGATTACAATATCAATCCTAGAAGTACTCTGAGCATTCTGCATGGTATGCAGTAAATGGACATCATGGATTCACAAAATATGAGCATGTATTGCAAATTGTGGCATACAGAACAATTACACGGCAGAGCGATATCATTAGGGGGCCAGTGGTGGCTTAGATTTGTTTTACTCATCTTCATACCACAATTAAAAAGAATAAACTACCATCACAATCATCTCCTGTTTTTTAACAGATCAGTATTCATTTCCTGCCAAATTCAATTTTTTTCTGTATTTTGGCATTAGAACAGATGGCTGGGTAGGGCTCTGGTAATAACATTAGTGTCTTCCTACAAAAAAAATGCAGTTCAGTGATGACTGAAATGTATGCACTGAATGTCACAAGGAGACAGAGAAAGAAAGAGCTCACTAACACAAGTGTTCGTATCTCTACAATGATTTTTCTGGGTTTTCCACAAATACTACAGGACCAATCAGATAATTCCAGCATTATCAGCCAACTCACAAAGAACTCCATCCAGGCTAAAAGCAGTACATAAGAGACTTGTAATTCATTTCTTACCTAGTTTACACCCTGTATGGAACGACAGTGTGCAACTTCAAGGCTTCTATTATAGATCTTATTGGGGTGCATTTACACTTTGTGCCATCAGAAGCAATGTACAAGACTCTTTCACACATGCTTTTGGCCTTTGAAAAGTCTCTCTTATCTATGTAGACAGACTTTTCCCTATGAAGACGTCAGTTATGTGCTTGTATCTAAGGTTTTGACAGTATTCTTGTTGTTGGGGGGGGGGTTGTCCAAGATGAGCTAAAGGCCAGATCAATATACACATATCTGGCATTTTATACTGTGTCAATTTCTGAAAGTAAATTTGTATAAGCAGATAATAACAAGTAGTGCAGTGACTCAAAGAACAATTAAAGGTCTGTCATAAACCCCATGACTCACAACAATGGTGCAGTCTCTTCCCTCAGCCACATAGAATAATTAACACATTCAATTTAGAAGAGTTAAATCATGCTGTGTGCTCTATCCCTAGGGGGGCATTCACAAGATCACATTAACGAGCACTATTACTTTGATAAGCAGAGACATAATGCTAACCCTTTGCCCCCTCCCAAGTACCATCCACACTAGGGTAATACCAAAAAATGTAAACTGGATTGATTTTAAACTTCCACTTTTACTAATATAAATATTATTTCTGTTTTGCCACACAACAACACTGCTTTTCTCCCTAATTATTACATGTACACCTTTCATTAGCTGATTTAGTTCTTGGGAGTTTAAGCCCTCTAGTTATTCCTCTGGGGGAAGTCTGTCTATAATGTAATTAATTTAGCCTGTTCTCCTCTCTCCTGTTCTAGGAGCAGTGGTTCCAGCTGCTAAGACATGTAAATTCAGCAATTTTTAGATCTTGCCAAAGATCACATAGTTTGAAAGTATAACAAATGTCATTACGTGATCATTACAAGACACTGATTTAGATGTCAATAGAGTAAAACTGGACTGACTTTAGCATTCATCATTTATTTCAAATAGGTGAGACCAAACTGGAAGATGTTTATGGAAGCTGCTGAACACCTCAAGAGTGGGTATGACATTTGTAGATGAAGCAGACAAATAACCCCTGGACAATAATAATTTAATATTTAACATTCAGCTTGGGCTAAGTCACAGTAAACATTTTTTCTACCACTGCAAATGGCATTTAATGAGAAGATTGTTACAATTTACAAGGGTACTTTTATAAATTGTATGTCTTTTGAGTAAAATGAAATGCAAGGCTGATCCTGAATATGTGCTCCTAGACCCAAGACAATATTTCTGAGCTCTTAGAATGACTATGGAATTTCAAAATGGGCACTGTTTGTTATCGACTTACCACATCAAGGTCTTGGGAAACTCTCCGTTTGCGCAACTCTTCCATTCTCTCACATACATCAGTAAAGCAAGTATTATAGTAATCTGCATACTGTTGAGCCAAGTCATCAATGTTGCCCAAAGATCCATCCTACAGGGAAGATTCAGAAGGAATAATAAAGTGTAATTACTACACCATTGTTGGTAGATTTTTAAAAGATTGTAATAACACAAAAAGAATATCTTCTCAGCTCAAAATGCTTTGAATGTCAGAGATGTAGTTTAGTACGTCAAAAACGTTATTAGTCTTGTTCATCTATTACCACAGACCAAAAATGCTTCCCCTTCTTTCATGTTGTCACAACCAAACATGCTTAATCTAAATCCATGATGCCCAATCTTAAATTCCATATTTTACGCTTAAAGCTAATACCATTCTGGCATTCTTGAAATTTTGACTAACATGCAAATAATTCTTCCAAACCTTTAAGGGGGCCCTTTCATTATACACCTAATTAGAATTTGCCAGTTAATGGTTGAAAGAGGCAGCACACAGTCCTCTTCAGTACTTGTTTGTATATAGTACAGTAATCTCTACTATAAAGATCAATAAAGCTGAAAATACTAATCTCATATTAATACACAGAAGATTTCAGGCGCATACATACCGACTATGTAAGCTGCCCTGAGCCCGTTCGCGAGGAGGGCAGGATAAGAATGGAATTAATAAATAAATAAAAATAAACAAAATACTGTTCTATCAGTATTGCATCTGTAGACTGTATGATGAAAATACACTCCAAAGTATCTGAGTACGATATTTTTATGGACACAAGTTATCACTTTTATCAACAATAATCTAATGTCTTAACAGTGCACAGATCATGTGGTGGGGAACCATTCAGGAAAATGAGAGGAGAAAGAAAGAAAGAAAGAAAGAAAGAAAGAAAGAAAGAAAGAAAGAAAGAAGAAAGAAAGAAAGAAAGAAAGAAAGAAAGAAAGAAAGAAAGAAAGAAAGAAAGAAAGAAAGAAAGAAAGAAAGAAAGAAGACTGTAATTGAGGGCCAATGTAATGTAAACTGAAGTTCTAGTGATTTTTAAAAATTTTCTAAAGAAGGTTTTAATACTATACTGTATTTGTAGTTGCTAAAGGTCAACATTTTATAAGTGCTCAGAAACTGTAACATAATTAGAAATATTTCTTAGCTGCACATACTTTTAAAAATAATGGATCTTATGCAAAACACATATCCAATGTTATCAGTAGCCAACAAATTAAATCAGGCACAGAAAGAAGAAGAAGAAGAAGAAGAAGAGATTGGATTTATATTAAGATGCTCTTTTTCAAGGACAGCTGTGCCAGAGCTTGTGACTGACCCAAGGTCACATCAGCAGGTGCAAGTGGAGGAGTGGGGAATCAAACCCGGTTCTCCCAGATTAGAGTCCGCACACTTAACCACTACACCAAACTGGCTCTTAACCACTTCACCAAACATACTGAAGCTCTTTCAGGACAAAGAGGATCCTTAAGACTAAATTAAGACAACCAGTATTACCTGAAGTTACTAATCCCAATTAATTTTTATAAACCAAAAATACTCTTTAAAAAGATAGATGTTATGGCTCAGGTCATGGGCTTGGAACACTTCTGGACCAATAGGAGAGATGTGGGACATCAAGGACCCTGTTAATAGGAACATCCTTTCCTCAGGCCATTTTAGGAAGCAGCCACTGAAGCAATTCCCCTTTACAGAGGCTTCTTCAAAAAAAAGTCATTACTTCCTATCTCTAAGGATAGTAACTGAGGACACCGACAGCAAAAGAATGAGATTTCCCCATCATCCCTCTCATCTCTAGGCATCTCGCCTTTGATATGCTAGTCCATGACTTGGAAACACACCACACTTGCCAGAGTGTATTTCAGAAGTAGTTATTTAAATGACACCTAAACACGGATGCTGACCAAGAAACTCACTGTAGCAGTATTTCACTCCATATTACCTGCTCTGACCTGTTTTGGGTTGTTGTTTTCTTGTCCTCAAGTCACAGCTGACTTACACGGCAACCCTGTGGGGTTTTCAAGGCAAGAAATGTCCAGAGGTGGTTTGCCATTGCCTGCCTCTGCGTAGCAACCCTGGACTTCCTTGGCAGTCTCCCATCCGCCAGCTTGTCCTTGCCATCGAACCTCCACGGTACCTCCACAGGACCTCCACGGGAGGTCTGATCGAGTAACTGCGCAGTAGTTTGCCCCAGGGCAAACAGCCACGCTTCTCCCCCGCAGTTTCCTGCCCGTGTGACCGGGGCCATTACTTCCTATCTCTAAGGATAGTAACGGAGGACACCGACAACAAAAGAATGAGATTTCCCCATCATCCCTCTCATCTCTAGGCATCTCGCCTTTGATATGCTAGTCCATGACTTGGAAACACACCACACTTGCCAGAGTGTATTTCAGAAGTAGTTATTTAAATGACACCTAAACACGGATGCTGACCAAGAAACTCACTGTAGCAGTATTTCACTCCATATTACCTGCTCTGACCTGTTTTGGGTTGTTGTTTTCTTGTCCTCAAGTCACAGCTGACTTACACGGCAACCCTGTGGGGTTTTCAAGGCAAGAAATGTCCAGAGGTGGTTTGCCATTGCCTGCCTCTGCGTAGCAACCCTGGACTTCCTTGGCAGTCTCCCATCCAAATACTAACTAGGGCCAACCCTGCTTAGCTTCCAAGATCTGATGTGATTAAGTTCACCTAGGCTATCCAGGCCAGTGGTTACCCTTAATTTTGCCTCTTTGCTAAGTCAGTAGTCTCTGGTTCTGATATGTAATTATTTTGTGATCTTCACTACTAGATTCCTGCCAAACTCTTCAGACCATCTAGGACTAGGATTACAATTACTCCACAGCCCTTTGAGGTAAAAAACTAGATGTAATACACCATATCTGTAATTATGGTCTCCCAGGTTCTTTAAAATTAATTAGCAGCCCAATGGGTAGCTTTGAAAATCTGGGAAATAGGGTTGGAGACGGGTGATAAACCCATTTACTGTGGCTATTTCCCCAATTTAAATCTTCTCTCCCCCCCCCACTGTAATTAGCTTTGGGGGTGGGGAGAACTGCTGTAGCTGTATTTTTTCCCGGTATGGAGCTAACTGCAGCTTTGCAGCTGGGGAGAGAAGAAAAACTACATTAAGGGAATCGCAAAGGATTAAACACCCCTCTCCTTTGCTACATCCCAGATATTCAAAGCAGCATCTTGGGGCTGCCAATTAGTTTCAAGGCAACTCAGGAAATCATAATCATGGATTTCCTGCAGATCATCAGTTCCCAAACAGGCAGTGGAACTCAGTTAACCTATCTCCAGAAATAGGTATGCTACACAGAAAAAAGTGGATAGCAATCAGGGTTCAAAAATTTCAGTTTCTCAATACGTATTTTAAGTGTGTGTAAATTGCCATCAAGTTGCAGCCGACTTATGGTGACTCTGAAGAGCAGAAGTGTTGAACTCATTTGTTACGAGGGCCGGATCTGACATAAATGTCACTTTGTTGAGCCGGGCCATGCGTGCCATAAAGCATAATGCCAGGTACTAGAGATATAAACTGTATAAAGGACAGCAGCTGGTAAGCTTCAAATTGGTGTATCCTCACTGCTAGGTCCCAGAAGCTGGGAGGGGGGTCCAAAGGAAAACCTATACGGGCGGACTGAAGAGCCAGCAGTGCAGCACTGGGCAGATGCTCCCGCACTGCTTGACTGCTGCAGATGAGGCTGTTCCACCATGCTGAAGCCACAATTGGAGTGGCTCCGCCCACTCCCCCCGAGCAATCTTCTGTTCCCTTCCTTGCACCAGTTGCTCGCGGGCCACATAAGAGCCCTGGACAGGCCGGTTCCAGCCCCTGGGCCTTATGTTTGAAACCCCACGTGTAACATTTTCAGCTCAAGAGACTAACAGAGGTGGTTTGCCATTGCCTGTCTCTGCATAGTGACTAGGATTTCCTTGGTGGTCTCCCATCCAAATACTAACCAGGGCTGACCCTGTTTATATTCTGAGATCTGACAACATCAGGGTGGCCTAGGCCATCCAGGTCAGGAACACTTATTTTACAACATTGTTTATGAATTTGTAGTCCTCAACCAAGTTACCCAGGCATATTCTAGGACTTCTCCTCCTGAATATACCGCTTTCTGCTAATGTATTTTAATATAAGGCAGCATCTCCAAATAACGCTAAATGACAAATCTATAAAACCTTCTTGGACAACAGAAGGCAGCCAGATGACAGAAAGCAAACTAGAAAAACACAAGCTAAAAAAGGTGGTACTTTTCCTCTGCTCGAGTCCAGTATCACCTTAAAGACCAACAACTTTTTCTAGGTTATGAGCTTTTATGAGTCAGAGCTCACTTCATCAGATCTTCATATAAGCTTATACCCCGGAAAATCTAGTGTTCTTTAAAGTGATACTGGACTCAAATTTTGTTCTACTACCACAGACTAACACAGCTACTAGTCAAAACCTAAATTTCTTGTTTTACATGATCACCAGGGGTCATTTCCTGCAGGAGCACAAAGGAGTGGAGCTCCGGCAGTAAAGAGCCCAGGGGGCGGGCACATGCAACAAGCCCCGCCCCCTGCTCCCAGCAGCTCTCAGACAGATCAAGAAGCAGCTAGGTAAGTTGCAGAGCTCCCCCCGCCCTCCCGGTCCAAAACAGTCCAGTGGTATCTTTAAGACCAAGTTTTATTCAGGTACAAGCTCTCCCTCCTCCGCGAGGACAGTGCAATATGGAGAGAGGGTTTTAGTCACGCGGGATCCTTGGGCGTGGCCCACGTATAAATTGTTTTAAACTGTTTTATTGTATTTTATTGCACTTTGTGCCATATGGTTGTAAGCCGCCCTGAGCCCGCATGCGGGGAGGGCGGGGTATAAATAAAATTAATTAATTAAATAAATAAATCCGCACATCCCCCCCCCAATTAGCTAGCAATCCAAAACAGCCCAGTGGAACCTGAATGGTGGGTGTTGCCTTCTGACACACTTCCGGTGATGTCAGGGGGTGTGGCATATGCAAATAGGTTATGCTAATGAGCGCCTGCACCTCTTTTTCTACTAAATGACCCCTGATGATCACCAACTGTTTAATAAGTTATATAAGAAA